AACTCTCTCGACAAAGAACAGCTCTGCGGTTTGTATGCGTCCTTACGTAATCTGTTTGTAAGAAAAGAGGGGAGAGGGATGATGGAAGAGTAACGAAGGTGAGGGAGAGAGACAGATTGATTAATGAGAAAAGCTCTTAATCACTCTTAATGAATCCCTTATCTTTGGTTCCTCTTTTTTTTATCTCTCTCTCTTTCTCTCTTTTCTTTTTCTTCATTTCCGCCGTTCTATTTTTTCGCTACCTTTATTCTAGCTTTTTTTACTTCGATGTGTGTAGATGGTCGGCTCTTCGATAGAATACAACGCATATATATATATTTATTTTCCCATGATCACTATTGCTTTGTATGTTTCCTCTCAGCTACGGGTGGGAGGGAGGGAAAAAAAGGGAGGGAAGGAGAGGGAAGGGGAGGGTAGTAGGGACCGGGGATGGGGGGGGAGGATGTAGAGAGTGCATGACGCTGCATGGTAGAGGCGTGACATGCGCACTGTGACCCTCAGCTTCCTTCTTCTGTTACAGGATCAGCTGGACAAAGGACAGATTGATGGTACGTTCCTCTTCTCGCTGTCAGGAATGGCGTCTGCGGTCATTTTTCCCCCTCTTCTTCGCGTTCACAGTTCTTCCTAATCGCTAATATGCATGACTTCTTTATTACTATACTGTGCTCAGCTCTTGGCGTGTCATGTAGCTGACCGTGGTTGTACTAATACGGGTGTTTGTGTGGCATGCGGGGTTTGGCTCAATGGTTTGACGTGACTGAATGGAGGGTCACGATGTTTTCCCTTGGTTTTTCATTCATAAGTTGAGTGGATGAGTAAATGTGTGTGTGTTTGCGTGTGTGTGTGTGTGTGTGTGTGTGTGTGTGTGAGTGAGTGAGTGAGTGAGTGAGTGAGTGAATGAGTGAGTGAGAGAGAGAGAGAGAGAGAAAGAGAGAGAGAGAGAAGAGAGAGAGAGAGAGAGAGAAAGAGAAAGAGAAAGAGAAAGAGAAAGAGAAAGAGAAAGAGAAAGAGAAAGAGAGAGAGAGAGAGAAAGATAAAAATATGGAGAGAAAGAGAGAACGAAAGAAATGGAAAATTGAGCATAAATAGATACAAAGAGAAAGAGAGAGACTGGGACAAGACAGGAAAAAAAAAAAAGAATCCATGAACAAGGGACACACGAAACGCGAACCAAAAATTCGCATCACCTCACACATATACGAAGTGAGGAGAGAAAAAAAACATAATTAATCCTCTGAATGAAGTAAAGAAATACCTTTAATCCATTACGAGTGTTTTAGTAATTCCCAAAGTATCAGGACAGACTCTGATGACTATTAGTGTGTTCTGTTATAAGAACAGTTATTTACCTCAAGTACCAATCACCTGTTTAGTACAAGTACATTTTATAAGTTTCCTGATGTGAAGAAATTTACCTCTTACTACTGTTCTTACTGTTTACACACTTACATGCATGTGTAAGTGTGACAGAGCATTGTTTGGCTTTCTGTTTAGCACTGTTTTCTTCGTTTTGCATGTCTGTGTGTTGCTGTTTTTAGTTATAGGATAATGTTTAGGTGTTATGGTTGCCGTTATTAAATTTGTGTATTCTATTTTGTGTATATGAGAGAGCGAGAGAGAGAGAAAGAGGGAGGGAGAGATAGATAGATAGATAGAGAGAGAGAGAGAGAGAGAGAGGGAAGAAAGGAGGAAGAGAAAGAGAAAGAGAGAGAGTGAGAGAAAGGAAGAGAGTGAGGGAAAAAAAGAGAGAGTGACAGATTGAGGGAGAGTGAGTGAGTGAGTGAGTGAGAGAGAGAGAGAGAGAGAATGAGAGTGAGTGAGAGAAAGAAAGAGAGTGAGAGAAAGGAAGAGAGAGTGAGAGAAAAAAAAACAGAGTAAGAGAGAGTGAGTGAGAGAGAGAGAGAATATTCATATATAATTTTTGTACACACACACACACACACACACACATACACATACACACACACACACGCACACACATCTACATGCATACATACATACATACACACATACATATAAACATACACACCTATATACACCCCGTCTTTACTCACCACCCTCTCACCCCCCCCCTCCTCTCCTCCCCCCGCAGGACTCCGCAAGGCCTTCGACGCTTTCGACACGGACAAAAAGGGCGCCATCAACGTGGAGACGATCAGCACCATCCTGAGAATGATGGGCGTCAAGGTGTCAGAGAAGAACCTGCAGGAGATCATCGCCGAGGTCGACGAGGACGGTGGGTTGCGGGGAGGGGGGGGGGGTATACTTGTGTTGTTGTTGTTGTTATTGTCATTTTGCGGGGGGGGGGGGGTATTCTAGAGTTGTTGTTCTTGTTGTTGTCATTTTTGCGGGGGGGGGTATACTAGTGTTGTTATTGTCATTATTAATACTATGATTGTTATTGTTATTTTTAGTGTTATTATTATTACTGTTGGTGTTGGTATGATGATGATAATAATGATAATAAAAATAAATATCAGCATTATTATTATTGTTGTTATTATTATTATCACTATTGTGATAATGATGATGATACTTATGTTGACGATTATTATTATCATTATCATTATTATCAATGTTATTATCATTATTACGAAAAGCAAAATACCGTGTTGATAAAGTGGTAAAAAAATCCACAATGCACAAACTAGATTTATTAAGAATAAGATAACTGTTTCGAAATCCTCCTGGATTAAATTTCATCATCATCATCACCATCATTATTATAATTGTTATCATTATATTACATTTACTTCTATCGTTATTTCTATCATCATTATTACCCTCATTATAATTATCATCATCATCATCAGCAGTAGCTTTATAATATAATTTTATCATGATCTTTATTATCTTTTTGTCATCATTATCACAGCATTATCTTTATGCTAATTACTGATATCATTAGTAATAGTGATATAATATATAACTGATTAAACTATTGTCATTATCTATATTATCAACATTATATAACGTATCTTAATCTGTCTGTCCTATTACAGTCATAATTATAGCTAAGGAAAGGATTAATGATAAATAATCAAGTGAATTGGTGAACGAATGCAGGAATAGGCAAATGCAGGAATAAATGAATAAATAGATAAATAGATGAATAAATGAAATGGGTGACTAAAACAGTTAAAAATACAGTTGTCATTATCATTATCGTCTTCATAATCACCACCAATCACCACCAACCACTACCATCCACCACAATCGCCACAACAACCACCACCACCACAATCACCACAAGCACCACCACCTATCACCACCAACCACTACCAACCCCCACCACCAATCATCACCAACCACCAACCAACCACCAACCACCACAACCACCACCAACCACCACCAATCCCCCCCCACCAACCAACTCCCCCCCCACCACCACCAACCAACCACCTATCACCCCCCCCCCCAACCACCACCAACCAACCAACCCTCTCCCCACCACCACCAACCACCAAAACCACCACCAATCACACCCCCCTTTCCCTTCCAGGTTCCGGAGAGCTGGAGTTTGAGGAATTCTGTGCCCTGGCCGCCAAGTTCCTGATCGAGGAGGACGAGGAGTCACTAAAAGCAGAATTAAAAGAGGCGTTTCGTATATACGATAAACAGGGTGAGTGGAAAAAGAGGATGATAAAGGTGGGTGATAAACAGGGTGAGTGGAAAAAGAGGATGATAAAGGTGGGTGATAAACAGGGTGAGTGGAAAAAGAGGATGATAAAAGTGGGTGATAAACAGGGTGAGTGGAAAAAGAGGATGATAAAGGTGGGTGATAAACAGGGTGAGTGGAAAAAGAGGATGATAAAGGTGGGTGATAAACAGGGTGGGTGGAAAAAGAGGATGATAAAGGTGGGTGATAAACAGGGTGAGTGGAAAAAGAGGATGATGATGATGAAGGTGAGTGGATAAAGGTAGATGGGAAGGATGGAGATAAACAGGGTGAGTGGAAAGATGATGATGATAAAGGTGGGTGGTAGAGAGGGTGATGATAAAGAGGGTGAGAGGGAAGGGTGATGATAAAGAGGGTAAGTGGGAAGGATGGTGATAAAGGAGGTGAGAGGGAAGGATGGTGATAAAGAGGGTGGATAGGAATAGATGATAAACTATATATGATAAACAGGATGATATGAAGAGGGTGTGTGGAAAGGGATAATAAAGAGGGTGCATAGAAATGACGATAAACATAGTGGATAGAAGGAATTTATAAAGAATAAAGGGAGTGATATATATAAGTACCTTTACGTTACGTTTTGAAATTATCTTTTGTTTTCGTTTTTTCTTTCTTAATATTGACAATTACATATCAACATCTATTTTTCTCTCTTTGTTTTCTTTCTTTTTATTTTCAATCGATTTCAAGCGTTTATTTTGTCTCCTATCTGCTTTGATGACTTCATACTTCATCAAATTATAAGAATATATATATATTTTTTTCCTTCTGACATTATACACCATTTAATTGAAAAACAACGTCTACATCTTATTTATTTTAACCCTACTTAGAATATAGATAACATAGATAATTTCAAAATACAGATAACACAGAGATAATATGAGATAAAGATAGAATATAGATAATATAAATATTGGGGGACAGATAATATTTACTTTTCCAGTCAGAGAAATAGTTTTCCATGTTCTCTACAACAAATATAACTTCAAGGGGTGACTATGACATCCATTCAAAACAATTATGGTATTTGTTGATAATTTCGTATATGCAGTAAATCAAATTACATAATTTATATTTTTATAGGCCAATAGATTATGTTATTGTTTCTGTTTCTGTCTTTCCGTCTCTATCTCTCTATCTGTTTGTCTGTCTCTGTCTCTCTGTCAGTTTCTCTCTCTCTCTCTCTCTCTCTCTATCTCTCCCTCCCTCCCTCCCTCTCTCCTTCCCTCTCCCTCTCTCCCTCTCTCTCCCTCCCTCCCTCCCTCCCTCTCCCTCTTTCTCCCTCCCTCCCTCCCTTTCCCCCTCTCTCCCTCTCTCTCCCTCCCTCCTTTCCCCTCTCTCCCTCCCTCTCCCTCTCCTTCCCTCTCTCCCTCCCTCCCTCCCTCCCTCTCCCTCTTTCTCCCTCTCCCTCTTTCTACCTCCCTCTCTCCCTCTCCCTCCCTGCCTCCCTCCCTATTCTAACCACCCCACCGCCTCCCTCAGGTGACGGCTACATCACGACGAAGGTGCTGAAGGAGATCCTACGAGAACTGGACAACAAACTCACCGAGGAGGACCTAGATGGCATTATCGACGAGGTGGACGAGGACGGATCAGGGACCTTGGATTTCGATGGTGAGAGAGGGTTGTGATTTGGAAGGGGGGGGGGGTGGAGTTGTGGTAGAGAGGTTTCTAGTTTTGTTTTGTTTTGTTTTTGTTTTTTGTGCTTTTTTTATTTATTTATCTTTTTTGTGTTTTATTTATTTTTTACTTTTTTTTTTTTTTGTTTTTCTATATTTTCTTATTTGTTTATTTCGTTTTATCTTTGTTTTTGTTTTTTGTTTTTGAGTCATCAGTTTTTTTTATTCATTTGTATATCTATTCATTTTTGAGTCACTAGTTTTTTTTATGTTTTATTTAGTTTTTATCTATTATTCTTTATTATTTCATTTTTTGGGGAATTATATTCTTTATTGTTATTATTATTACTTTTATTACAAATTAATTTGTTTATTTATGTAATATTTTTTAGGAGATAACTTAGTTTGTTTAACTTTGTGGATTCCAGTTTTCATTAAATATCAGTTTGAAGTCACTGTTTGTACGCTTATGAGATTAGTATTTAAGCATTATTATCATTATTATTTCACTTGTCATGTGTCAGTCATGTCTTTATTACTGTTTGTCTCTTTATATACTCTTCGTCTCGTAAAATAAATGCTTCTGTTCTCACTTTGCTTTCTAGTTTGTATAACATCATGATTGTATTTAACATCCCTTGTGTCCGAGTAATTCACGAAGAGATATTTTATCGAATTTTCCCCCTCTTCCCCTGTTTATTCTCTGCTCTCTGGTCTCCCACTATACTGTATTTCTGTCTTTATTTCAGAATTCATGGCGATGATGGCTGGTTAAACCTTCCCTTTCCCTCCATTTCACACTTTCCTTCTTGTCTTATCTCACGGCCCTCGTAACCAGCTCCTGATCAAATCCACATTCCCGTTCTCAATTTCAGAGTTCATGGATATGATGACTGGTTAATAAATGCCACAAAATGTCCAGCGTCTACTCCTATTTAATAAATAAATAAATATATCAACAACAACAACAGCAACATCCTCCATCCATCCAATTATCCACTCTTCCCATACCAAAAGCAACAGGAATTGTCCAGAAATGCACGCAAGTCATCTGCGTGAAAATTAGTTTAGTCACCCCCCTCGCATTCCTCATCCTGACATCTCGGCGAAAAAAAAACAACAGAAAACGGAACTCGGACTCCATTGCCCCCCAAAAATGTGAAAGAAAGAAAAAATCAATAAGAAATTTTTTTGGTATAAGGTTATGCAAAAGGAAGATATAACATCGTAGAAAAAGATAAAAGTTATATCGTTGAAAAGATGTAGACCAGTTTAAAAAAAATCCTATATATTTTGACGGATTTTTTCGAGAACTCAGAATCGTTTTTTCTTTATCATTATTTTTTTCCCCTTTTTAATCCAATAGACAAGAGAACACTGTGGGGCGTTTTATTTCATCTATTGTTTTATTACTTAAAAAAACAGACTTTTTGAATTAATTTCTTCTTTTTTCTTTATCTTTTTGCCAAGAACATTTTGCATTTTATGATTTTATTCATATACTGAGAAGTATAACATCATTAACCTAACTGAAGTGAGTTTTTTTTTATTTAACTTACTGATTTAGGAATATATTTATGTTGTCATTAAAACAAGTGTTATGTACGATGTTTTTTTTTTCTTGACTTTGTGTTAACTAAATGCTTATATAAGTGATCTTGCTTTATTGTTTAAGATTTTAAATTAAAACTGAACCATTGGTTTGAATTATTATTGTCCTCTATAAATGTTTTGTATCTGTTTTTAACTTTTGTTTTTTGATTCCCAACGGTTGGCTGCTAACACCTGAAACTGTGGTTTTGCATACATGCATATATACATACATACACACTTATACAAACACAAACACATACACACACACACAAATACACACACACACACACACACACACATACATATATATATAGACAAACACACACAACTTATGAACCTTAACTGTGCCAAAGGTGAACAGTGCTTCCTAACTTTCAAGTATTGACAAATGAAGCACAATCCTTTATATATTTTATTGTAATAGGATTTCAGGAACAGAACGATAACCGGAGGTGAGTTAATTCACAATTACAAAGTCGTATGATTTTTTACTACTTCTACCTTTTAAAGAAAAAATTGTTTACTAAAAATAATTTACGTAGTTAATGTTTATTTCCCGAACAGCTGCCTTCTTTTTTTCTGTATGCAAATTAGATATGAATATCTTCCGACAGACGGATATTTACATCTATACCAATTAACTAAGCGTTTAGAATTAGACTGAAACAGCTTATTCCATTGTACCTTTGCCTAAAGCCTCTTAGTGTTTTAAGATCTAGGACAAAAAACAAAAACAAAAACAAAAAACGCAAATTTGAGTTTTTAATCCACAGCAAAGTACTTCTTCAGTGGATATTTTCTCCATTTTTATATATTTTACCTTTTTAGTAATTCTTCTGCAAGGAAGATGTTACCCCTATTTTTTTCTTTTTCTTTTATATATACTTCATATCCTACATTTAAAAGGTGATATCCCTAGACATATGGGTTATCTCTTGTGCTTTTATTTCCTGCAATTTTTTTTTATCTTTTTATCTTACTTCCACAGCTGTGAGGAGTTCTATTTGACCTTTTTTGTCTCCCTTTTTCATAATTTTTTGCCAATTTTTTTAAATTATTTTTTCCCCCCTTTTTTCTTCCTTTCTTCCCTGTTCTTTTTTTTACTACAACAATCTTCCATTTTCCTTTCCAGAGTTCATGACGATGATGGCCGGTTAAACTTCCTCTCATTCTTCAACTTCATGCTTCACGCCTCATTTAACTTAAAAAAAAAACCTTCCTCTTCCCCCTCAAGCCACATTCCTGTTCTCGACTAAATGAGTTCATGGATACACACGCAAATGTACGTACAACACACGGACACACGGTTACAATCGTACGTAAACACGCTACGGGCACTTCATACCTAACCAGCTATTTGCCTGTGAACGACTGTTAGATCTTTCTCGTCTTCTAAATAAGTCCTTTTTTCTATGTTTCCAGAAGTGGATAGATTAAATTTTAATAATGAAAAAAAAACAAAGAAATGAAATATTCGTTTCTTTTTATATACTCAGCATCTAATATTGCGAATATAAACTAACTTTGGAAAATATGGCTACGTTAAAACCAGTGTGTCGTTATTCATTTTTTTTTTTATTTCTATTAAGCAAAACGTACACTAATACTGTTGCTGGAACTTTTAATGCAGTGGATTTTTATTTATTTATTTATTTATTAATGATGATTGACACCTATCACTAATAAGACGATTATTTCAAATTTCAGAAATAAATAAAAACTTTTTTTTTTTCGGAAACTCACTAACAGAGTCTCTCTCTCACATACACGTGGAAATTCGTTCTCGAAATGCCATTTTTATGATTATCTGAAAAAAAGAGTCTGAGTTTTGTGTTATTTTACTGTTAGATCGAAGTGGCTTTAAATCTATGAATCATTTCAAATAAAAACTGATACTGTTTTCTGGCTTTTTGTTTCAATCCTGTACGAAACTTTATATCTGATTTTTTTTTCACTCTTTCATTCTTATGTTTCCTGTACGTTTTCGGTCTGTGACAGTTTTTTCTATCTTTCTTTCTCTCACTTTCTCTTCTCCTCTCTTCTTTCTCTTCTCTTCTATGTCTCTGTCTCTCTTTCTCCATCTCTTCTCACTCTATACATTTCTCTTTTCCTCTTTCTCTTCTCCTCTTTCATCTCTTATTTTATCTCTCTCGTTTTCTCTTCTCCTCTCTTTCTCATTTACCCTTTCTCTTCTAATTGAAAAGTGTGAATTCAATTCCTTTTATCAATTTTCTTTTTTATTACAACTACTTGTCCCATTAACATTATCATATTACAAAAAAGGCGAAAAGTTTATTAAAGAAATACATATTCGCTCACTTTAACAATGAAAAATGATATGTACAAATTTTCTGGCACATGGACACTGTATTGACGTTGATATCTTTCTCATGTAAATGTCATGATCAGGCTTAAAAAACACTGACTCTCTCTCTCGCCCCCTTCCCCCCTTTCTCTCTTTCTCTCTCTCTCTCTCTCTCTCTCTCTCTTTTCTCTTTAGTCTTTCTCTCTCATCTCTCTCTCCATCCCGCCCCTCCCCTTCTCTCTGCATCATCTCTTTCTCTCTCTTGTTTTTCTCTTTCTCTCTTTCCCACCCCTTTCTGCCCCTTTCTCTTTGTGTCACCCCTCCCTCTCTCTCCTTTTTCTCATTCTCTCTCTCTCTCTCTCTCTAAATTATTCCTATCTACCCCCTCCTCTCTACATCATCCCTTTCTCTCTCTCTCTCTCTCTCTCTTGAATCATTCCTGTCTGCCCCTTTCTCTCTTAAAGCATTCCTATCTGCCTTTTTCATGTATCACCCCACTCACTCTCTCTTTTTTCCCTTTCTCTCAATTTCTCTCTTCTCTCTCTCTCCCATCCCTATCTGCCCCTTATCTCTGTATCACCCCACCCTTTCTCTCTTTTTTCTTTTTGTCTCCCTTTCTCTTTTTTTTCTCTTTGCCTCTCTTTCTCTCTTTTTGTCTTTGTCTCTTTTTCTCTCTTTTTTCTTTGTCTCTTTTTTCTCCTTGTCTCTCTTTCTCTCTTTTTTCTCTTTGTCTCTCTTTCTCTCTTTTTTCCTTTTCTCTCTTTTTTTCACTTTGTCTCTCTTTTTTTTCTCTTTGTCTCTCTTTCTCTCTCTTGAATCATTCGCTGAACACAGTCCTGATAGTAACTCCAGGGACACTAATTCACTGCAAGACGAAGACGAGGGAAAAAACGAAGGTAGTGAGTGCTAGGGACGTCGATCGGGATCGTTCTCCGCCGTTCCCCGTAATAGGCGCTGCTGTGGGCCGTTCTGCTCCTAAAAAAAAAAAAAAAAAACGTAAATTGGGGCAAAGGGTCTTGTCTCGGGCCTTGGAAGGGGATATGATAAGGTGAAGGCATATTCTTACGTGGTTTGGGATGTTTTAGATATGTGGTTTCTTTTGTTTTGTTTTTTATCGTTGTGAAAGTTAATGCGACGAACTCTTAACATTATATTTTTTTTCTTTATTTTTATTTTTACTATTATGAAAACTATTTTAATGTTATTCCTATTTTTCTTTATTTTTTAAACTACTATGAAAGCTAATTTAATGAATTCTTACTATTATTATACCATTTTTTTATATTTTTCTTACTACTATGAAAATTTTCAACGAACACTTAATATATTTTTTTCTTTCTTTTCTATCACTATGAAAGCTAATTCAACGAACGTTTAATGTAATGCCCCTTTTTTAAGTGTAAGTGGATATGTAAGACAACAAAAGAATATTCACGTCTCATGCACCTACATTGCAACTGCTGGTATTACAGTTACAATGAATGAATGTATTACTACTATAATTTTACTAATTGAAAAGATTAATGGCCTCCAACTCTTTCTCTATAAACTGCTGTACAACCGCTGCAATTGTCATTTTTCACAGCGTCGGTTGTTTTGCAGATGATGTTATTACAGTCACTCTTACAACCATTATATGTCTCTGGCCTAATCATCATAACCATCATATACACGACCCTACCTTGTCTTCTGAAGCCACAATATCCCTTCTATTAAAAACCAGACACACATTCCACCACCACATACACCTTATACTACATACCCACACCTCAGAACACACACACAGAGAAACACGCGACAATACACACTCTTCGCCTGGAGCTGTAGTAAATGATTAGTAAAAGTAGTAAAGTAGTAAAAGCTGTAGTAAAAAGTAAATCATCATAACCATCATATACACGACCCTACCTTGTCTTCTGAAACCCCAATATCCCTCCTATTAAAAACCAGACACACGTTCCACCACCACATACACCTTTTCTACAAAACCCACACCTAAGAATACACACACAGAGTAACAGGCAACAATACACACTCTTCGTCTGGAGCTGTAGTAAAGTGCTGGTGACAGAATCTACAATGTTGGTAATGACAGCTCTTCGTCTCCTGGTGAGGAACTCGACGGAGGAGCAAGGGCGTGGGCAAGGATCTTCGGTGTTTCTGTATACGTCTGTAGGGGAGGAAGGAAACACGTAGAAAAAAAGGAAACAGGGAAAAAAAATATGAGAATGTAGAAAAAATGAGAAAAATAGATGGAAGTGAATGAGAATAAAGGAAGGGAAATTATTCATGTAGAAATATGTAGTAAAAATGAATGAATAAAAGTGAAGGAAACGGTTCTTCGGTGTTTCTGTATACGTCTGTAGGGGAGGAAGGGGCAGTACATGTGTAGAAGGGAAAAAAAGTAGATAAAATGTGAGAAAATGTGTGTATTTTTCTTTTCCTTTCTTTTTTTATGAGATGAATCTATCCTCTAGTTTGACTTCAACTTATTACAATAATTAGAGCAATTCTCAATGAAATATTGATTATAAAGGCAACAATGAAAAATATATTTTTCTTTTTTCTATTATCTTCTTTTACAAATATGGTAAAGATGCATTGTTCTTTCTTACGAACATGATAAAAAATCAATTGTAGAAACAGTTTTTTAAATCATAAAAGCAACTACGATAAAACTTTTCCCTTTCTTACTCTCTCTCTCTCTCTCTCTCTCTCTCTCTTTTCTTTCCTTTTTAAACAAACACAATCAAAATCTTAAGCCTAGCAGTAACTCACTCACATACGTCCACACATCACAAA